CGGGCACAGATCCCGACGCCCCGCCGGAGCCCTGCGCGCAGCTTCTCTCGGGCCGGTGCCTAGGGCGTCCGCTGACCCAGATAGCACCCTGGGGTGCCAGCCCGCCGAGGGGGGCCCACAGCTTCGCGCCGGCTCCTCCGGACCAGCCCCCTTGGGTGGCGGCATCCAGGCGTGGAGCCCGACATCTGCCACCGAGGCTCGTGACTATAACGGCCTCCGCAGGAACCGCGGCCCCCAGATCCCTGGGAAGGCAGCAGCTTGGTCTGGCCCTTCCTGGCCATCTCATGCCATCCCACAGTCCTGGGGGTGAAGAGATCACTAGCCCCGTTTGACAGAAGACACCCAGCCCCCGCGAGTGCCCCTGCCTGCCTATGGCAACGCACAGAGGCACTTCTGGAAAGTGCGCGTGCGCCCGGGTGTCCGAGGAACCCGCAGAGACAAAATCCAAGCCCTGGGACTCCAGACCAGCGCCCCCACTGTATTAGTCCAATGCCATCCCACAGTCCTGGGGGTGAAGAGATCACTAGCCCCGTTTGACAGAAGACACCCAGTCCCCGCGAGTGCCCCTGCCTGCCTATGGCAACGCACAGAGGCACTTCTGGAAAGTGCGCGCGCGCCCGGGTGTCCGAGGAACCCGCAGAGACAAAATCCAAGCCCTGGGACTCCAGACCAGCGCCCCCACTGTATTAGTCCATGTCTGTTGCTTATAACAAAATACATATGACGGGGTATTTTATAAAGAAAACGAAATTTATTGCTTACAGTTTCAGAGGCTGGGAACTCCAGAGTCCAGGGAACACATCTGTGAGGGTCCTGGTGGTGGCAACAATGGCAGAGCAAAAACAGACAGACTCTCCTCTTCTTTTAAAGCCCTCAGAACCACGTCCCTGACCACCATTTGTAATCCATTCACTACTGCATGGTCCTACAATCTAATCACCTCTTCTAGGCCCCACCTTTCAATTAACATAATAGATTTCCCACCACTCCAGAGTCCAGGGAACACATCTGTGAGGGTCCTGGTGGTGGCAACAATGGCAGAGCAAAGACAGACAGACTCTCCTCTTCTTTTAAAGCCCTCAGAACCACGTCCCTGACCACCATTTGTAATCCATTCACTACTGCACGGTCCTACAATCTAATCACCTCTTCTAGGCCCCACCTTTCAATTAACATAATAGGATTTCCCACACTCTTAACAGTCACAGTGGGGGCCACGTGTCTAATGCATAAAACCTGTGGGATGCAATTCAAGCTTCAGTGAGTTTTGGGGGGACATAATTCAATCCACTACACCCACCCGCTACACCACCTGCTGGCCAGGAAGTCAGAGAAAAGAACAGCCCAGCTGTGGGCCACCCATGGGAGACACCCCAGGGCACCTGGCTGGGGATCTGGCACTATTTCCTCCTGGGGAAGCAGTCCTCTCTGACTGTCCCTGAGACACAAGCCACCTACGGTGGAGAGTGGCCTAGGGCACCTCCTCCTGGTCCCAGGAGAGAAGGAGCTGCTCCTAGTGGCAGGGGTCCCCGGAAAGGGGTCTGTGTGTGTATACGTGTGTACGTGGGCATTTGTGTGTGACTGTGAAGACACGTGTGCTATGTGTCTGAGTCTCTGTGTGGTCTGAATGTCTGCATGTGCCAAGTGTACGTCCAAATAGGACTCTGGTGTGGGTCGGGTCTCTTGTCATCCCTGTAGGCTTGTGAGATTGTGTGTGTGTGTGTGTGTGTGTGTGTATGTCTCTGAGTCGGCTGTGTCTGAATATGGGTTCAGTAGGATTGTCAGTTTGTATGCCTGCCTGTGTCTCTGCATGTGTGTGTCTTTGTGTGTGAATACGTGGACGGGCGTCTGTGTGTGATTGTGCATTTGTGTGTGCCACCCCTCGGTCCTTGATTGTTCTTTACCACCACCACCCTCACCACCCTCCGGGCCCAGCTCCCTGGCTGCAAGAACCTGTCAGGATTTGGAGTCATGAGTTGGCTGGGCCTGGGAATGGTGGGCCGCTGAGGGGGAGGAGGAAGGCCTGGGAGGTGGCCCCTACAGCTCACATTCCAGCCAGAGGCAGGAAGGCCAGGGCAGCCCCAGCTCTCACCCCAGTGACCTCTGCGTCCACTGCCTGCCTGCCCACCCACGAGGGGCTGCCAGAGACGTCGCCTCCTGCCTGGCCAGCCCTAAGCCTGGAGGTCCAGGAGCCAGCGGGGGCTGCAAAGAACATTCTGACGAGCTCCAACATGCTGTGTAGACAGACTCCTTCCTGAGCCCAGGGTCATGGAGGAGGGTTGCAGTGCATGTGCGTGAGGGTAAGCAGACGTGTGTCTGTGGATATCTGTATCATATGTTTGCCCATAACATCTGTGTATATATATGCATGCATTTATGTGTGTTCATTTTTTGGATTTGGATTTGAGTACGTGGGCACAGGTGTGTATTGTGTGCAGGCGAGCATGTGTGTGCATTTGAGTATCTGTATTGTATATGCTTGTCTATACTGAATGTTTCGGGCACTTATGTGTTGGGCATATTTGCCTATAACTGTGTTTGTATAGGGGTGTATATACTGTGTACATGTGGGTTTGTATTCATTTTTTCATTCTTTCATGTACCTCGTATTGCTTGAGCCCTACTATGCTCCAGACACTGCCCCAGGTGCTGGCGATGTGATGTCCAGGTCCCTGGAAGTTTACGTTTATGTGTCTGTGTATCAGGGGGTACAGAGGGCTGGGGATGCTGAAGTGCTCTTTCTTCACACCAGAGTGAATTTATTACCTTGGGCAATGTCTGTGATTCCCACAAGTGCCCGTCAGTCTTTTGTCACTAAACTGGGACCATACCCTTCTAAACCTGGCTTCCTGGGTTGTGAGACGAATTAGCTAGGGTAGGCGAGGTGGAGAAAACCAAGAAGACTCCCACATTTCCATGGACCAAATAAAAGTGTATTCTTGCTCACTCTCAGGCCAGGGCAAGGTGCTGGTAGCTCTGCTCCCCTGCACTGTGGCTCCACTACCCACCAGCCACAGAACCTCCAGTAACTCCCTTGGCTTTCAGAGCCCTGGCTTCCTCCATCTGTGAAGTGGGAACAATAACAGTACTTACCTCATAGGGTTGTGTGAGGACTGATAAACCACCTGGGGTGATTTATAATTCAAGAATTGACTCTTATTAGAGGAATGAAAATACTGTAGTTACAGAGCAGAGTCCTTGATGGCATGGACACAGTTAGAGCATGGTACTGATAACACTAAAGTCAAGGGTTCGGATCTCCGTACCAGCCAGTTGCCAAAAAAAAGAAAAGAAATAATCTTATGCTTCTGCCAGGTGCAGAAGAGCAAGAAGATGCACTCACGCACACACACACGTGCACACACTAATTCTCACCATCGCAATCCAGGCGATCAGTTCTCAGTTGTCACTGAGACCTGCTGAGTAGATCCAGGTACTAAGGGGACGGCAGAGTCAGTGTTCACAATTCAGCACTTAACTGTTAATCATACAATCACTTATTGTTGTTTCTGGGACAGAATTAATATTTATTGAGCACCTATTGTATGCCAAGCGGTGTGCCTAGTGCTTTAAACCCCTCAGCTCATTGAATTCTGACCATAACCCTCTGAGGTAGGTTTTAATTATTCCCATTTCGAAGACAGGAAAATGGAGGCCCAGGGAATGCAAGTAATGTGCCAATAGTCATTTAGCTACTCAGGAAGGAACAGCGATGGGAGTCAAGCACAGATCTTTCTCCAAAGCTCCTTCCAGTGAGCGTGAGCTCTGTCTCCAACCAGACAGCCAGTACCTTGAAGGCAGGGTCTGCCCCTCGTGGGAGCAGAGCAGACACTTGACAAACTGATGGCCGATGTGTGGGAGGGGCAGGTGCTGATCAGGAGCTGACCCTTTCACAGGGGGTTGGGCAAATGCAGATAAACATGAGGGGCTAGGGTGGAGCAACACCATTTGGGACACAGCAGTGCAGGGGACCCTGAGCAGCCGTGGACTCCAGTCTGTGTGCCATGCTGGCAGGCCAGCCTGGGCTCCTGAGCCTGCTCACCAACGCAGGGCTTCCCACACCTGTATTAGTCATACTCTTAGCCTGAAAACACCTGCCCCGACCCATCCCAACGTCTTGGCTTTCAGCTTCCTGACTCATTTTCCCATTTAGGTTTAGCCTCTCCATTGCCTTGACCCTCTGAATTTTCCCCCAACTATGACCTTTCCTTCTTTCTTAAGGACAATTCAGCATTTGCTTCCAGAGAGATGTCTCAAGTGGCCCTCTCCTTCTGACACTGTCCTTGAGCCCTGGACCTGGGTATGACCAGAGGTGGCTGAGAAATGACGTGTCCAAGGACTGAAATTTCCCCCTTCCTGGCTGGCAGAGAGAACAGCACTAGGCAGCTCTTTGCCAAGGACTTTTTCACTTCATACTCTGGACGTGCTTTATCGCCAACAGTTGGCCAAAGTCCCCACCAAGAAGATGCTTGGTTGACCTCTGCCTTCTCCCCCTCCCTCCTGGGCAGGGATTTCCCGTGGACCACCCCAGCCTCAACCCCAAGCCCTTCTCCTTCTTTCCACATGCTTCTCCCAGGCAGGATCTGATGGCTTCTCTGGCCACCAACGCTGGGCAAGATGCCCCTCACCCAGGTTCCCACAGCATCTTGAATTGCCCCTCCATGGTGGCCCCTGTCCCTCAGTGCCATGACTGCCTGGTTGCATCTGTCTTGCCTCAAAGATGGTAAGATCTAGGAGGGCAGATCCTGTGTCTCCTGTTCACCCTTACATCCCTAGCACTTGCTCGGTGCCTGGTGCAGAGGAGGGGCTTATTGATATGTGTTGAGTGGGCCAATCCTCAGAGACTAGTCCTCTCCCCACAGAGAAAATGTCCTAAGTCTGCCCCTTCTT